ACAGGCCAATGTTTTTCCATAACGTTTGTGACACAGTATCACATTGACAACTTTTACCTGTGTACCTTTGAATTTTTGATATAACATGGTTGCGGGCAATTGGCCGGAAGCCTTGGACCCAGGTTTTGCGCTAGTTGGCACTCGTCAGCAAGGTGTATATGCAGTCTTGCTGGAACTTATGCCTCTTCTGAAATTTGAACCGACGTCACTTAGTGCCGCCTTCAGTCAGAGACGTTACCACTGAGTCATTCTGGCTTGCGATTCCTCCTCTGTAGGACTGTATTGGATATTTTTGTTTGGACACTAGTCAGTAACTAGCATAATGTGTCTAGTCCATTATTTGGTGCAGAGTGTATTCATTCAATCATGTTTGCAGTGTGGTCATCATTCAAGGCTGCTCGCTATCGCAGTGCGATTGACCTCCTAGCATGATTATTGACTGGTGTACAATCAATATATGGGTATCCACCAATGCACTTGCTCCTGTGGAGCAAACATATGGATCGTTTAATGAGTGTTTTACCTACATGAATCAAGGAGAATTGTCCCACGTGTCTACAGAAAGATCAAAGTCAATCAATATGAAGTGCTATAACAGGACGTGTATTCAACACCGGCTACTCAATGTGTACGGAAAGTTCATGTAAAGTTATCTACAGAGTCAAAAATAAGCTTCCCGAAATCGATAATCTTCTTTATTACTGAGAATTTAGCGATTTAGATGGAAAATCCTGATTTATGTTATACAGGAGAAACTTCTCCATCCAGTCTTTCTATCTTCAGTATAATTCTAAGTTGAACTGCCATCAGTATCTTTTTGTTAGTTCTGTTTTCGGCATTTTGCATAAGACATTTGTTAATATCATATTCTTAATTTACCTTTTGTTCACTCCCCTTACCTATTACATAATTTATTTTGATACCTGACTCCTAGCTGTTTCATTCATTTACACCCACTTTTTTGGTGCAAATCTTTCATATAATGGAACCTTCGAATCAGCCTATGAATCTTCACTCCCCCCTACCCACTTAGCTGCAACTGGATTATCCATCACTGAAATATCCCAGGTTAATTTTTACTTTATTTCAGGATTTCATAATGAGCAGACATCGGTTAGATAACCATTGTAAACTTAAATATTTGACAGCTGTTTCATTCTTGTTCAAGACTCTTCATCAGTAAGCACCAATAGACTAAGTGTGAGGACAAATACTCTCCGCCGATATCATTGATTAGTGGTCACGCTATATCGTGAATTACTAGAACTCGAAATTCATGAGCTGACCATTGGATTAGGTCCCAGTAACTAAATGGTCAGTGGGGTGATCTAGTAAACTGAAATTCATGAATTCGATCCTTGGAGGTGGGATGCAATTTTCGTACTGATGAAGATTTAAAAGCAATGATGAAGCAGCTATCCGGTACTCCCCGGTTGGTTTCTCAATGGTTCTCTGACTGGATCCAATTCATAATCAATCTTGAAGTCAATGGAATCCCTGTAAACCAACTCCTGAAAATTGCCATCATCACACAATGAATTTGTGTTACCGTGCTTAATTATCGTTTGAAAAAACGAACATCAATTTTATGAAGGGATAAATTAGATTCAGTCGTTTTTTGAGTTTAATTCCTAACTGGAAACATCTTCGGTGAAGTTAAACTGCAGGAATCACAATCAGGCTTGAGTTTTGAAGTTTCATTTACGGTAATATTGTCTTCTGTTGGGTGGGGCAGCTTATTTCAAACCCAATAATCCCTCCTTACCTGGCTTATTACCACTGGCTAAACGAGGTCAAGGAGTGTGTCAGCAGTTAGTTAAATCCTGCATGGTTGACAAGATTCCCCCCCGCCCCACTAAATCGCCCAGGTCAGGAGACAGTGAAACTTGTGAAATTTACTATTTAACTGTACGCCCTCCCAAATCTACTTGGATAGCCTTATTCCTCTTAAAGCACTACACTGAAATCTTTTGGTGATGCGTAGTAGATAATTCCATAACTAGATAAAAACTTGTGAAACTAGATGAAGAGGAATTTGTGAACATGATATATACACGAATGATCTTATTGAGATTGATTTTAAAGGTTTTTCAGTCACGTTATTGATAGTGGCTGTTATTGTTTAACTCACTCACCCTTTCCGAAGATTTAATTGGCATCGTCATCAATGAGACTTCACTGGAAAATGTTGAATTAGTGATTCTGTAATGAATGTGCGTCGGTGGCATAGCGGTTAGGACTCTCGCCGACCATGCACATGGTCCGGGTTTCAATCCCTGCCGACGCACATCTGACATCAATGGTCGGCGTGCAAACTTTGAGCTACCGATATCACATGCTGAAAATTCCATACTTGTACCAAAAGTACTGTGTGGAATCAAGCTATAATCAAAATAATAATAGTCGGCTTCATTTAATACTGAAGATCAAGTGACCAGCTGACCAGAAAAGATAAACGACCATGATCTCTGGTAATGAAAAAACTAAAAACCTGATACTCCCCAAATATCCAGATGGAAATAGAGATGGTGTTGAACAGAAACTCTGAGAAGATCGTTGACAGAAATCACGCATCAGACCCTCAAGTGGATTTGGGTCAAATGACGACATTAAGGAGTCTATGTGAAGAGGAAATAAATGTTTTTTTCAGAGATTGTGGAACCAGCTAAAGTGAAGATTGTAGAGAACGTCATGAAGGGGAGATGTATAGCTGAAGCCTCATATTCCACTCGGAATAATACTAAATAATAATGAATACAAGTTGCTAACCTGTTTAACCAACTCGCCAGAAACACTTTGATTCGTAGACTGCCAGATTAGATAATGTCTCCCTTTTTTATAAATGAGGTTTAGACTGACAGAGATTAGTTGGTCTACAGAGAACCATGTATTATAACTTCTATTTTCAAAATAATGGATACTGAACAAAGAGTACTCTTTTCGATGACTTCATCATCAGGCTCTACAGTTATATTTACATTATAGTGAATGAATGAATTAGTGTTATGAACAACATTAATGTTGCTGTTTAAATAACATCGAATCAATAATCATACCAGTAGATTACAGTTCAGTAGCATCAACATAACAAAAAACTGAATGTCAGGAAAATTAGGAAAAATAATATTACGAATTCATGAATTTATAGTCTCTGCTGAAGACCGGCCAGGGCAGTAGTAGAGACTGGACTTGCTTCTTTTGAACACAGAGCATTGGTTGTTTGAGGCGAATTGCAATAGCCTGTGCTGTTTGGAGCATGTGGTGCATCGATGATTTTGGCAATTTATTAGGCACCTGGTAGATGGCAGAGAAGGATTCTTTCATGCTGGCTTTGTGGCCAGTTTGCACCAGATGATCTAATATCAAACTGTTAATGGTTTTAACTACACCTTTACTTAGCCATAGTGGGAGATGTTCTCAAGCACGAAAAATCAAGTGACGGCCAATATAACTCGCTACACCACAAGCGCAGTTGAATTGGTAGATACAATTTGAAGTGGCTAGTCTAGGTACTTCATCTTTCAGTCGAGGTAGCACCATCGGTCGTGTAGAGAATAAGTCGTGTAGTTCACCATCATTAATAGTTCTTTGAACTGATTTTCTTAATTTCCTCGTAATTGTCTCACATGGTATATCGCCCTTGAATTGTACTCGTATATAAAGTGGCTTCTTAATTACAGATAGTGAATAGTCCTTTTCCGCTTTCTTTGTCATGTGTTTCTTGATAAATTTGTCAGGATAGCTATTTCCGGCCAAAGTATCATATACAATGCTTAATTCATCTTCAATTACTTCTTCTGAGCAAATGGCTCTAACTCTGTGGCTGAAGATCTTCACTAAATTTCTTTTGTACTTGATGGGAACGAAACTGTGAAAATGTGTATTTTGTCCTGCCCAAGTGCTTTTTCTATGCAAATTTCTTTTTATGCTACCATCTGGTTTTCTTGTAAGTAGGACATCCAGGAAGGCAATTCTGTCTTGGGATTCCTCTTCGCATGTGAATTTCATAGCCGAATGCACTTCTATTTTCCTATATATATTGTTGACAAAGAGACCAGAAACAATTGTGTACAACTTCTCAGCTTCAAGACAGTCCCCCCTTCGGGTTGTTATACTTTATACAGACTTTCATTAGTATGTTACATATTACGAAAAGAAAATGTTATTGAGATATTCTATAAAAATAGAAGAATGATGATGGAGCATTGACTGAAGCATTTTTGAAATAAAAGTATATTTTGTTTGCCTTGGTAGTTTGGAGGTAGAATGTTTGCCAACTCACTCACCCCCAACTGACTCACTCGTAAGCCTTGTCTATTTTTCCTTCACGTTCCCAGTGGAAAATAGGGTACCTTCAAGCTAGAGGCTTGAAGTTTCGGTAGCAGTGGTGTTTATTTTTAGAGTATGGGGTTGCTAGCCTCATACCCAACCTCCCCACTTTACCAGTCTTATTACTGGCTTAGCGAGGTAAAGGAGTGCGTCGGTGGTCGGGGATCAAACCCCAGACCATGAATATGGTCGGCGAGTGTCCTAACCGCTGTTCCACCTACGCACGATTTTTTTATTTTTGATTACAGCTTGATTCCACACCGTATTTTTGGTACTGGTATGGAATTTTCAGCATGTGATTTCGGTAGCCCAAATTTGCAGGCCGACCATAGATATTAAGTGTACGTCGGCAGGGGATCGAACCCCGGACCATGTGCATGGTCGGCAAGAGTCCTAACCACTGTGCCACTGACGCACATCAAACCTTGTGTAGCCGATGTTAAGCTTACAAAAGATGCAAGACTGGGAGTTGGTCTAGCGACCCCACTGCATAAAAGGAAAAGAATAACACCTTGTCCCACTGAAATTTTAAAGGTGAAGGTTTGAAGCCTTATGTTACATTCTTGTACGTAGAGGAATACAAAAAAATTTTATTGATCTCTGCATTTTCTTTGACCTCACACTTTTTGATTTCTTCTTCTCATACTATTTTTTTAAATTTCTTTTTCAAGGAGGCAACATTCACAACAGTTTTAGCCTATGATTTAGGCATGCTTGCACATCACTGTACCTGTCAGACAGATGCAAATCATCCAGAGAATCCACAACGGCTGATTTCTATTTGGCAAAGACTTCAAGTAAGCAGTCATAAATTTTAAAATACATATAATTATTTAATAAATATAAGAAAAATTCCTTATTTTATTTTTCAGTAATTCATTAATTAATTGACTGCAGTTATTATTATGATTATTATTGTTCCCTTGGGTTCCTAGTGGAACATAGGGCTCCAACTACACGTCTTTACTTGCTTCTGTCTTCTGCTGTACTTTTCACTTGCATCCATGTTAGTCCATAATGTTTCAGCTCCTCTTCACACGATCTCCTCCATGTCACCCTTGCACTGACGTCCCACTCGCCGCTTCCCTTTCGGTTCCACTCGACCGTCGGCTTGATGCGCGATGTCACCCAACGGCCTCCTCAGCCAGTGAGTGTCTAATCCATCTCCACTTTCTCCTGCATATTTGTTGAGCGACTGGTTCTTGTTTTGTTTGTTCCCATAGTTTCTTGTTGGTGATTCTTTCCAGCCATCTGATCTTCAGTATAGAGAGAAGACAGCTGTTGATAAAGGTTTGCAACCTGTTGGAGAAAATATCAGGTAACGGTTTTATCCTTGCTGCGATTCTTCTGCAGTACTGGCCCATGACCTCAGTGTTAAGGATCGAACCCAAGATCTTCAGGTTACGTGGCTATCCCATTGGTCACTCAGTCACAGGAACAGAATCGAATGACCCATCACTTTTAGCTCCTGCCAATTTGCGATATATACAACACGACCATAAGTCACTTTAGTGCACTGTGGATTTCTAGGGGAAATTTGTGACCAGTGGGGTCCAGCAGGTTGGCTGTGAGGAAGAATACTTATTGATGACACTGTGAATTTCGCAGAAGTCTGAATGGATAGGTCATCGGATTTCGTCTTATTGATTGGATCATGGATATTACAAAGCGTGAATACACCTGCTCCATTAATTACGATTCTTAGCCATAACATTAACAGTTTCAAGTCATTGGTAACTCGCGCCTTGAGGACGCCAACTAGGTAGTCTCTACCTCACCATATGGCTCGCTCAGACTAACTTTAAAAGACTTTATAGATCGATGCAAAGTTTTGATCTGACTACCTCTAACTCTCTTCCAACCTAATTATATGACAGATGACATCACTCGATGTGGATGGTGATGACTTGACATGCTTGACACATACCCTAGTCATTTCAGTAGATGCAGTTTCACAACTCCATCTGTTGGCTTCTCCTCCTTACCCATCACTTTGCATCTAACCTCAATATTACTCGCCGAAGTACAACACTCAGTCCAAGAGACAGGAAATAGATATCTTCGATCATAGGCGGCTGGCGTCCCCACATCTTTCTCTTTCATTGCTGTAGAGGAAGACGGGATAAACTGCTCCATAGTGCTCCATAGTCCTCTTTATGAATAACTGAATATCTCGTCCGCATCAGTGATTGCGTCACATGGCAAACTTCATACTAGCCTTTCGTATCACTGCTGAGATTCCATCAGCGGCCAATTCATTACGGCTCACTGGTACAACTTCCCAAATCACTGAACTGGTTAACAGGCGAGTTTAAAGAGCTAACAACTAATAAGAATTCAGCTTTCAGAAGGAGTAGAGTATACACCATAGTCACGATAACTGCAGAATAAAGTTATTTTAAGATTATAGGGTAAAGACTAGCCAAAATTAGGGATATTACATAGTTGGAGGCAATCGGTAGGAAACCTTGGACTCAGGTTCCATGCTGGTTGGCACTCACCAGTCAATCAGCAAGGCATATCTGCAACCTTGAAGGAACTGATGTCCCTCCTTCTGAGATTCGAACCCGCATTACCCAGTGCCGAAGTCAGAGACGTTACCAGTGAGTTATTCGGGCTTACGACTGACCTCCAGTAGGAATGTATTAGATACTTTCGATTAGACACTAATTAGTAACTAGTGTAATGTGTCTAGTCCTTTGTTTGGTACACACTGATCTCCAACCATCTAAATTCAAAATGCGCCGTGATGGCAAGTTAACCGGAGTGCTGCCCGTGGCCGCATTACAAAGATGACTGATAGAATTAAGTCGGCAGTAAACAAACAACTAGACACATTACACTAGTTACTAACTAATCTCCAATCAAAATTAGGAATATGTACAAATTTATTGATTTTCTACCCCATTATGTATGCCACAACACTTTTACTTCACACTATTTACAACACTGTTCGAATACTTCTCAGGCGTATTAGCTCATGATGCGCTACTTGATGAGAACTCGAGTTATTGATGCCAACAAACTGATACTTTTTTTATTATTGCTTGATTTCACACAGTATTTTGGTACGATTATGGAATTTTCAGCTTGTGCTACCGGTGGCTCAAATTTAGCATGCCAAATAATGATATCAGGTGTGCGTCGGCTTGGAATCGAACCTCGAACCATTTGCATGGTCGGTGAGCGTCCTAACCACTGTACCACGAAGCACACACAGCACACAGTCACTAATGAAGGGCTAACTCCTTTAAGAAATTCGAAGAATTGTCTTATAAATTGTTGCAACCGATAGAGTTCATTGATTTGAATATGAGAACAGCCAGTCTCATCGGTGGTTATATTTTATGAATTCTAATTACATTTTTGAAATCACACAGTTATAGGTGAAAATTCATCATAATTTCCCTTTGTGTTCCGGTGACTTAGCGGTAGAATCTTCACCAACCACGACTACAGTCCAGGATTTGAATCTTGGTGACTCATTTCGAAATCTTACTTGGTCTTTCTTTTTTTATTCCTTCACATTCCCAGTGGAACATAGGGCTTCAAGCTAGAGGCTTGAAGTTTCTGTAGCAGTGTTTATTTTCACAGGATTAGGTTGCTAGCCTCATGTCCAACCTTTCCTCTTTACCAGCTTTATTTCTGGCTTAGCGAGGTAAAGGAGTGCGTCGGCCGGGGATCGAACCTTGGACCATGTGCATGGTGGGCGAGCATCCTAACCACTACGCCACCGCTTGGTCTGTCTTAATCTCGGTAAACGAGGGAAGGTTGGGCGTGAGATTAGCAACTTCACTCCATAAAATATACACCCCAGTGCTACTGTATCTTTAAAGTTTAGGTTCGAAGTCCTATGTTCCACTTGAAACAGAAAGGAATCAAATATTCATAGTATATATGACCTATTTGATAATGTAAATACCAATCAATCGAAACTAATCACATCAATCAATAAGATGCTGCCATGATGCAACCACTGCTTGCCTTTCATTATTTTGAACACAGACACCATATAAAATTAACTTTATAACTTTTTTTTAGTGTACAAAATATGCCATGATTAATTACCATGACATACTAGCAGTGTTCAATAGACATTGAACAAATGACTGATTTAAACAAATATTGGCGGGAAATCAATCGAAGTTAAGCATCATGTGATAATCATAAGGTACACGCACATACATACATACATGCATGCATACATG